GGCCAGGGCCATACAGAGAAACCCTGTCTCAAACAACAACAGCAAGGAAAGTACAAAAAGCGGCTAACAAAATCGCTCAGAGGTGGGGGAAAAAAAGCTTTCCAGGAAGCTTAATGAGCTGAGTTTGGTTCTTGGAACCCAAGTGGTAGGAGTGAATTAACTCCTTCAAGTTGTCCTCTGGCTGTCACACCGTGCCAGGTATGTCCACCCCACAAAATAATTAAAGTAGTTAAATTATTATTATTGTTATTTTGGTTTTTTTTAATAAGAGCCAACTTTATTCAAATTATCCAAAGTTTATAGCAAACATGTAAATTGCTTCTAAAAATGTATGTCATCCTTTATACATAAAGGTTACTGTGACTTTCATGGATTCCTTTTACTCGTTTTCTTTATAATCCTTTAATAAAAGCCAGAATCTTGGGTTGACCAGTTGGGAGCCTCTGATCTACTGTTCTGATTAAGTTTCTTTCCGATATTCATGGCCAACTTTTAGTCTTTTCAATCCCTCGCTGATAGGGTGAGACTGCGTTGCTACCCATTACCACATGACCTAGTTTTGAATCAGTCTTGGCATCCAACCTTGCATTTATAATCAAACTCACAATCCATCTTTCAGCTTTTTCTGGAGTCATATTCAGTTTATCTGCTAACATGTTAATGCTGATATACCCTGGTGGATACGACAAAAAGCCTCAAATATAAAGAGTCGAGCATTCTCAATGAAGTCAAGACATGCCACCAAGAAGAAGTCATTCACAAGCACTGATCCACACTCCCTCAGCTTTTTCTGAGCCCCCTCGAAATCAGAGTTAACATATAAGCATTCAACAAATTCTGTAGTTGGGTCTTTATATGTGTAAGACTCCTGCTGGATAACTTCCACTAGATCTTTCAGGAGGACCTGCCGGCGTTTTTGCACATCTTTGTTGTAACAGCAGTGGTCAAATAGTGGAGAATACGTGGACACATTGTCTGGATTGCATTAAGGTACTGTGGTTGGTAAAGGAAGAGATCAATAATATCATCACTTAAACCCTATCACTTAGGCCTTTTGGGTGGTTGAAAAAAAACAAACAGAGACCAATGGACGAGCCATGTTTGCTGCTGAAGAGACTGGAGCGGAGAACTCACAGAATGATTGTCTATGGTCTCTTTTAGTCAGGTCTTCCATGGCTGCATCCCAATTCTGCATTAAGATTTCAGAGGCCAGTTTTCCTCAGAGTGAACTTAAAGCATTTCTATCTGTGGCTGGAACCAAAACTCTAAAGAAGTAAAGATACTCTGCAGCTCCTGAGTAATTTCCACACTCATATTGGAATTTTGCGTATCTATAGAGTGTATCTAAACACTCTTGCCTAAACCCATGCTTGTCTGCCAGGTAGTCAAACAGCATCCGACCATCCCTGGTCGACTGCATCTGTCTTGTAGTTTCTGGATCTTCAAACATCTTCACAATTGGTTCTGTTTCTGCCTGGAGCTGCTTCAGCTGGGCAACAACTGTGGTTCTTTTCTCTCTCAAAGCATGAGGGATATCATCAGAATAAAGGTTTTTGAGGACATCCATAGCAAGTCTACCATATTGGTATCACTAAGAAGATCCAATTTTCCTTGTAGTAATTCTTTTTCCATTATATATCTCTTTCACAGAGAGAAATTCAAGGAACGGAAAGACCAGGTGCTGATCCAGAAAGTGCAAGATGCGACGAGTAGTTAGGTCATACTCCGCCATCTTGCCGGGGAAAAAGAGTGTTATTTTGGTTGTTTGAAACGGGGTTTCTCTGTGTAGCCCTGACTGTCCTGGAACTTGCTTTGTAGACCAGGCTGGCCTCAAACTTAGAGATCTGCCTGCCTCTGACTCCTGAGGGCTGGCATCAAAGGAGTGTGCCACCACCACCTGGCTTTAAAGTAATTTTTAAAATGAAAAAAAAAAAAAACCCAAAAAAAACAACAACCCAGAAAACATAAACGCAGATAGACATACAGTCAGACAGAGAGAGAGAGAGAAAGTGAGTGCACAAGAGAGAGACAAGTAGGCACCTGCAACTTAGGATGAATGTAAAACAAGTGAGCACCTGTAACTTAGGATGGGGTGAATGTGGGACCAGTGCAAGAAAAGCAATTGGGGTGTAATGGAGAGAGACATTTGGTGGACTGGTGACATCTAAATACTGAAATCAAGGAGTACTGGAGTCTCCAGCAGGAAGTTAGAGGACTACAGAATGTCCAGCAGGATCTAGGGTTCTCATGGTAGAAGCTCATTTTCTGATAGAGTAGGGTCTAAGTATTTCTTTCTTTCCTTACGTCACTATGTAGCCCTGACTGCCCTGGAACTCAATATGTAGACCAGGCTGGCCCCTTGCCTCTCTAGTGTCCCCCCCTCCCTCCCTCTCTCCCCACACCTGATGCTGGCCCCAGTTACCCTCCCCAACCCTGAGAGCACTTTTTTTATGATTTATTTTTAAAATTACATGAATGGTATATTTCCGTTTGTGTATGGCGGTTCTGAAGATCAATTCCAGGCCCTCAGACATTCTCAGCTTTCAGGTGTATATATTTTAGAATTTCCAGAGATTTTTGTTTTTCAGATGATAGAGGCCAACACCAAGCAGGGTGTCCACTGCTCGTTATCCTAATACTCTGGAGGAAGAGTGAGGAGCCAAGGTCAAGCTGGGCATGGTGGATGCCTTCAAAGCCGGGATAGGACAGCCAAGGCTACACCACAGAGAAACCAAGTGTGGAAAAACAACAACAACAAAAGCCATGGTCATTTTGGCTATGTTAGATATAAGTAAGTTTGGGGTAGAAAAAAAAAAAAGTACAGTTACTCTTGATCAAGAGGGTAGAAATGGAAGAGTGATAAATAGAGAAATAGAGACAGGAAGTTTTTTGTTTTGTTTTGTTTTAACTAACTCAGAAGGTGATTGTGTCTTTTTCCCCAAAGGCTTGGGTCCAATCTCACAGTCTTAATCTGAAAAGAAAATGCAAGAATGGGAAAGGTCTATTCCAAGGAGAAACAAACAAACAGATGGTAACTACTCCAGGCTATCAAATTCCTGGAATACAGGGGTGGATTTTGTGTAAAGGTTTTACTGGCTGGGGAGTGGATTAAAATATCTGCATAAAAGTTTTATGGGTGGGTAGGGTAAAATATTTGAATTCCTCACCCTCAACAAACTGTGTTACAATATTTGCTAGAAAAGACTCCCTTAACTACTCCAGGGCATCCAGTTCCAGGTCAAGCTTAACAGCTTCTTTCAGCTCAAAGACCCCTACCCTGCTGACTGTTATCTAAATCCTCATGTTTTTCTGCTCTCCATCCTCCACCTCTTCCCTCAGCCTTGGCAATTTGATTCCGAAATAGTTTTTCTCTCTACTTGAGGTAGTTTGATAGTTTCACTGCTTTACAGAGGCCATCTTGGGCTACATGAGAATTTTTGTCTAAAAAAATAGATAATGAGTAAACATTTTGAAAGAGGATCTGAGCTGGGTGGTGGTTGTGCATGCCTTCATCCCAGCACTTGGGAGACAGAGGTGGGTAGATCTTTGAATTCAAGGCCAGCCTGATATACAGAAGAGCGAGTTCCAGGACAGCAGGGGCTACACTACACAGAGAAACCCTGTCTTGAAAGAGTGCTTGTTTTGGCTGCACATATACTAAAATTGGAACAATACAGAGAAGATTAGCATGGCCTTTGCATAAGGATGACACACAAATTTGTGAAGTGTTCCATATTTTTATTTTGACAATGGAAACACGGTAATGAACTTTCATATTCCGAGAAAGAAAGGAAGAAAGGAAGGAAGGAAGGAAGGAAGGAAGGAAGGAAGGAAGGAAGGAAGGATCAGAGAAGTTTGGCTAATTACAACCCCATCCTAAGTTACAGGTGCTCACTTGTTTCACATTCATCCTAAGTTACAGGTGCCTACTTGTCTCTCTCTTGTGCACTCACTTTCTCTCTCTCTGTGTGTGTCTGACTGTATGTCTATCTGTGTTTATGTTTTGTGGGTTTTTTTTTTTTCATTTTAAAAATTACTTTAAAGCCAGGTGGCAGTGGCACACTCCTTTGATGCCAGCCCTCAGGAGTCAGAGGCAGGCAGATCTCTAAGTTTGAGGCCAGCCTGGTCTACAAAGCAAGTTCCAGGACCCGCAGGCCTGGAACTCACAGAAGATGCACCTGCCTCTGCCTCCTGCCTGAGTCCTGGGATTAAAGATGTGCACCACCACACCTTGGTATTGTTTGGTTTTACAAATCCCTCCATCCCTATCTGCTGCAGGGCAGGGCTGGCAAACCCTGCCCTCTACCTTGAATTCCTAGCCCAGAGGCTGGGCTTTCTCTCTCCCGGAGGCTCTTCACCATATAACCTGGACATTTTGATACCCTCTCCCATCTTTCTCTGTTCTCTTTTTCTATCTGTGCAAGCTTCATTCTCTCTCCCCTTTCCCTTTCCCTCCCCCCTGCACGCGGCCTGAGAACTGCTGGCAACAAGCCTGAATTTACGTACTATCACTTTGTCTTGCAATGTCCATTCTGCCGTTTCAATCAGCTATAAGAACCTTTTAAGACAAAGGGGGGGGGGTTTGCAAGGTGATCTGGTCATAACACAGAGAAACCCTATCTTGTAAAGAAAATTTATTTTTTTATAAATTAAAAAATATTATTTATTTATTTATTTATTAAATTAGAAAAAAAAGTGTCTGTGTGTGTGGACATATGTACATGAATCCTGGGGCCTACAGAAGCCAGAACAGGGTGTCAGGTCCTGTGGGATGGGAGTTACATGTAATTGTAAGCTCCTTGACTTTGGTGCTGGGAACTGAGCTCATATCCTCTGGAAGAGCAGCAAGTGCTCTTAAGCTTTGAGCCATTGCATCATCTCTCCAGTGCCCCAGGGAATTTTCTTTTCTTCCCTTTTTTCTTTTTATTTGGTTTTCTTTTTATTTGACTTTCTCTGTGTAGCTTTGCCTGTCCTGGACTTGCTTTGTAGACCAGGCTGGCTTTGAACTCACAGTGATCTGCCTGCCTCTGCCTCCTGCCTCCTGAGTGCTGCATCAAAGGTGTCACCATGCCCAGCTATGGAAAATTTCTTAACAAACATGTTTTAACTCTTCATTTTACACTTCTATATAACCTTTTAATTTTTAAAATTCAAGAATAACTTTTTATTGGCTGCATGCTTCTTATACATTAGTTATTATGTTGAGTTCTATGGGTACAGAGACAACTAGGATCAACATACTAGAAATATAAGAATCATGAGTTGTAAGGGCAGGTACTGGGCTTATTCTAGTCCACTGATGACTGTTAACTTTTTTTTTTTTTTTTTTTTAGAACAGGCTGGCCCGAACTCACAGAGATCTGCCTACCTCTCCCTCCCTATCTTTATTGTTTTTTTTTCTTTAGCATTTTCATAGTATTTGTCCTCATTCTTTGTTATGATTAACCCTTTTTTCCTTTTCTTTGCAAGATAGGGTTTCTTTGTGTAGCCTTGGCTCTTCTGGAATTAGCTCTGAAGTCCAGGCTGGCCTAGAACTCACATGTATCTATCCGCCTCTACCTCTTGAGTGCTAGGACTAAAGGCGTGTCCCATAACACCTGGTCCATTTGTCTTTTTCAAGGCCAAAGGAACTACTTACAGGCTTCACTTGCTTGAAGGCCATTGTATTTCTTTGACTTAGACCTCAGAGTTAGTAATGGCAGCCCATACTTTTTGAGCGCTAAATTCAAGATTTCCTGGATCGGGTTCTACTTGCCCCTGACTTGCTCTGGGGGAGAAAAGGCTCTTCAGAAATGAGAGGCAATAGCTTAGGCAGACTTTGAAACCTTGCATTGATGTTTAGCACATTTGGATCAGAGTGTCTAGGTCTCAGGTCCTCCTCAAATGCTTGATGAAAGAGATTTAGGAGGGTCCAGTTTCCCGAAAATCACAGTTAGGGAGGCCCAAGGACCCTGAGTTCTCTCAGTTTTCCCAGTATTTGGAATACAGATGAAGCGCTAGTCGCCATCTTGGTATCAAATGCCAAGCAAGCAGCCACTGGCGTCGTTCGGTAACCACGGCGACACTCTGGCTTTGCTGTAAACTACAATTCCCGTCAGCCGATTTCCCCTCCTGGCTCGCGAGTGCTCTACATTTGGCTTGCACACAGTCGCGACTCTACGCAGTGACTCGTGGGAGTTGCTGTTCGCCGCTTGGCCTCGCCACTTGCCACACGAAGCTTCAGAACTACAAGTCCCGTGAGGCAGCGGAGCGCGCACGCGTAGAGCTGCGGTCCGCCTCAGGGGGGCGGGGAGGGGGTGCCGCCAGTGCCAGGAGGAAAGAGAGGGCGGGGGAAGGAAGAGGAGGCGGGATCCGGGCGCTGCGTTGGCTGCGGCCTGGCACGAAAGGGGCGGCCCCGGCGGAGAGCAGACCCAGTAGCCCGGGCGATTATGGACCCGGCAGAGGCGGTGCTGCAAGAGAAAGCGCTCAAGTTTATGGTGAGGAGATGGTGCGGGCCGGGGAATGGTGGAGGCGGCGGCGTTGGCGTGTCGCTGAGCTCAGGCCTGGGTCACACGCTCACCGCAGGAGGGGGCAATGGTACTCCGGGCCAAGGCCGGTGGCGAGGCCGAGGGAGGGACTGGACCGGAGCTCGGAGGAGGGTGCGGGAGGGTGCAGAGGGGACCCTGGGGTGGGGGCAGCAGCTCCGCCATCTTGTGGAAGAGAGGCCAAGTGACAGCGGGAGCTCATTCGAGGTGGGGGCTCCTGGCGGCGCGCGGGGCCCTAAAGGGAAAGGGGCGTGGGGACAGTTACTGAAGAGCGGAGGAACCCGAGTGGAGAGACGCCTGTGGACGCTGCGGGCAGGGGCCTTACGGTGTCAGGGTTACGGGTAAGGCCTGGGAGAGGGGGTACGTTCAGGAGTGGGGAATAGTGGGGAGCTTAGGAAAATGGTAAGGCAGACACTGGGGACAGGGGGAAACTGGGCAGGGCTGGGTACTGATAGGTTTAACGGTGAAGGAGGGAAAGCCCAGGCTAGGGAAGGCAAGTAGTTTTGCTTCATTCAGCTGGGAAGATAGTCTTAGCCTAAGGGCTAAGGGTGGAATCCCAGTTGGCCAAACTAATGTTCGCAAACTCTGGAAGAGGCCTTATTTAAGAAGGACTCAGACTGAGGGCTACCGTGACAGTTCCTGGGAGAGAAAGACAGTATTGACTGTGAGCTAGAATTACAAATAGCTGAAAGGAGATACATGCTCCGCTTTGAAGGAGAGGGGCACAGTTATTTGTAGTAAGGACAAAGTGATGAAAGGAATGCAGGTACAGGTAAATGGGGATAAGATTAATAACCGATAAGAGAAGCAAAACAAAACTTAGGCCTTAAGTGGTGAGGCAGTAAAATGTGGAGGCCAGGTGCTGTATCACCCTGTGGGAGAGGAAAGGCCTTGGAGAAATGATGAGAGCTGTGAAGAAATTCTAGAGGGAGGATGTAAGTAATAGAGAAAGTGAGCTAAGTCAGGATTGGTGGTTGCCTGTGATATTTAGGTTGAAGCACAGTGTGGGTGACACATTTTGAGGGTATGGGTAAGCCCCTTAGGACCTGTTTCTTCAACTTTGTATGGTGCTTTTCCTTTGCTGTGCTTGTGTTTGGCAACCTTGACTAGGCTGATATTTGATGCTTTTAATCTGATGCTTCTTGTGTATCCGAGATGTGGACCAGCTTCTGGCTACATTTAAGGAGTAAAGAGTGATGGGATGCACAGAGTTTTAGCCTAACAGGTGGTCTCAGGGACATTATATTATTTCCAATCAAGTTTGGCTTTTTCCGAAGTAATTAAACCCATCATTCCAAATAGCATTTCTTTGTGAATAGTTGTTTCTTTGCCTAAAATGCCATAACAAATTAGATAAACATAGACACTAACTCAGTTAAAATTGGGTTTTAAATTGCCCTAGTAGTATTTATAGAAGCTGGTCAAATTTAAGTTTTTATTTTGAGGGCTGGAGAGATTGCTCAGCAGTTAAGGGCATTGCTGCTCTCCCAGAGGATGAAGGCTTCATTCCCTGTACCCACATGGCTGCTTACAGTGGTTTGTAACTCTCCAATCCAAGGGGATTCCACGACCCCCCTTTCGGCCTCCCTGGGCACCAGGTACACAAGTGGTGTCCAGACATACATGCAGACATCCATACACTTAAAATAAATGAATAAATAAAACTCATTAAAAGGGGCTGGAGAGACGGCTCAGTGGTTAAGAGCACTGCCTGCTCTTCCAGAGGACCCGGGTTCAATTCCCAGTATCCACATGGCAGCTCAAAACTGTCTGTAATGCCAATTCCAAGGGATCTGATACCGTCACACTAATAGACATAAAATAAAGTTAAATAAGTTTTAAAAAAACTCATTAAAAAATAAGGCTGTGGTGACTCACACCTTCAATCTCAGCACTTCGGAGGCAGAGGCAGGCAGATCTCTGAATTCAAAGCTGGCCTGGTCTACAAAGTGAGTTCTAGGACAGCCAGGGCTACACAAAGAAACCCTGTTTAGAAAACAACAACAACAAAATTCTTTTCATTAGTACCTTCAGAAACACCTAACTAAAGTTTGTCATTAGTAAAATTCTATTGAGCCTAAAGATATTTATTTCTTGAATTTCTGTCCTGTGTGTTTACATCTAAAAATTAAGAGACCTCAAGGCCTGGAGTTGTAGCTTATACCTTATAATCCAGTACTTAAGAATAGAAGCTGAGACAGGCCAGGAGGTAGCCCCCAAAATAAAAACTGCCCACGCCTTTAATTGGGTAGGTAGGTATATCTCAGTTTGAGGCTAACTTGGTCTATTTGAGTTCTAGAACAGCCCTGTCTCAAAAATCCACAAAAATAGAAAGAAAGAAAGAAAGAAAGAAAGAAAGAAAGAAAGAAAGAAAGAAAAGAAAAGAAAAGAAAAGAAAAGAAAAAGAAGATAATACTCCTGCTGAGTCAGGAGTATTGTCATGATTTTAAGGGCAGCTTGGGCTACAGAATTAGACCCTGTTTCAAGAGACAATAAAACAAATAAGCTGAGTGCTTTTGGGCAAGCCTGTAATCCTATTGCTTGGGAGACAAGGCAGAAGGATCTGGAGTTAAAAAACCAGCACGTTAATGCAGCCTGGGCTCCATGAGACCCTGCTTACAAATAAGCAAATCTGCAAAGAGACCTTGACATTTCGGGGGAAGGGAATGGAAATAAGCCAAGGCTGCTTTTATCTCCTCAGCCAGTTTCAAGATGTAAGTGAGAAAGTGCTTAGTTTTTCTAGTTTAGAGGGTTGACTCTCAGCACGAGCCTGACACTTCCTCAGATTTCTGGAGTAACGTCTGCAATAATGAGACTTAGAGATCATAAAGAGACATTATGAGATCATCCTTTTTTATTCCTCTGAACCACTTGAGCTCTGCTTTGTGCCTTGAGTTAGGCATTGATAGTGGCCTGCTGATTGAGTCAGGCGGACTTGGACATGACAAAGGAACAGTTTGCAGTTTTGAGGGCACCACACATTATTAAATGTTGAGCCAGTCATAGGGAGAAGCAGCCAAATTTTTCTTTTATTTTAGTTACTTTCTTTATTGACCTTGCCTGCTGTTGTGGCTGCTTTTTGAGGAAAGGACAACTGGAGGAAGAGTTGCTAAGGAGGAACGCCTCAGTGAGAGCGGCAGAGAATTAGGATTCTCTTTCAGCTCAGTCACAGCCTTATTATGAATCTGAGTAAGTCACGACCTCCCCTGGTGCCATTTTCCCCACTGTAACATGTCTGTCTGTTCAGAGTCAGTTTTAGATAGAGAAGGTATTTTATCTGAGCTAGCGTCAAGCAGTTAATGCATAGTGTACAGTGGGAGCACTATCCTCTTAGTCAAACTGATTTTTTTTTTTTGTGTTTCCCATCAGTTGCTAATAACAACTTTGGTACAGAACTTTTTTTAAAAAAGATGTTCTCTGTGTAGCCCTGGCTGTTCTGGGACTTGCTCTTTAGACCAGGCTGGCCTCAAACTCACAGAGATCTGCCTGCCTCTGCCTCCTAGGTGCTGGGATTAGAGGTATGCACCACCATATCTAGTTTTAATTTAAAGAATTTAATGTAAAGTTTATTGAGAATGTCAACATGGAATACTGGCATGAGTTAACTTAATATCGCATTACTGCAGTACTTGGTCCAGGAGTTTTGCCATGAATTGTTAAATAATACTGTCAGAACTTCTGAGCAGACTGTTCATGCATGGTCTGGCCCTTGGATACTTGTGAAAAGTACTGATTGTCTAACTCCTGAGAGCAGAGAAGTGAAAAGAAAGCAGTAGTTTGTATGAAATAGTCTGTGTGCTGATGTGTCTCATCTAGCTTTAGCGGGGCCTTAGGGGCCTTTCCTTAGTCAACAAAAGTATAAACCTCAGAAAATATAAACGCTAGAAGAGGGCCTGAGCAACAAAATGAAGACTAGGGAGAGGAGCTAGGCTACATGGATATGAATGGGGGAATAATGAGATTACTAAGGAAAAAACTGGTGTTTAGTTTAAGAAATGGGATAAATGTATTCTTTTCCAGCCAGTTCCAAGATCGAGCAAGAGAAGTAATTTTAAGCCTTAAAAAAATTATTTTATGTACATGGATATTTTGTCTGCATGTACATCTGTCTGCACACCAGAAGAGGTTATTTAATCCCTTGAGGCTACAGTTAGAGATGGTTGTGAGCCATGATGTGGGTGCTGGGAATTGACCCCTGAAAGAACAGCCAGTGCTCTTAACAGATGAGCCATCTCTATATTCCCAAGACATGTTTTGTTGGTTTTTTTTGGGGGGGGAGGGGGGGAATCTGTTTTAATTTGTTGTTGCTTTTTGTTTTTTTGTTTGGTTTTGTTTGTTTTTTGAGACAGGGTTTCTCTGTATAGCCCTTGGCTGTCCAGGACTTTGTAGACCAGGCTGACCTCAAACTCATGAAGATCTGTCTGCCTCTGCCTCCGGGAATGTTGGGATCAAAGGCATGTACTACCATGGCCTGCCTTGTAAAGACAATTTTATTTGGGTTTTTATTTTGTTTGAGACAGGCTGTCTTGCCCAGGAGGCCTGGAATTTACAGGGTAGCTCAAGCAGGCCTTAAGCCCAAGTGATTCTCCTTACCTGTCCTTCCTGGGTGTTGCTATCAACCATATGCCACTATGCGTGCCAAATAGAAATCTCTAGAAGTTCTACAGTAGATTTTCTTTAACCCAGTGAGATTGATTGCCAGCTGAGTGGTTTACATGTGAAAATAGCTCTGTTGGTCAGTTTCTCTGCATCCTTTTCCTGTTGCTTATTTGTTTGCTGAGACAGGATCTCCATGTGTTGTCCAGGATGCTCTCCAATTCTTGGACCTGCTTCCCTGTCATAGATGGAGCTATGGACACTTGGAACCACACCTACCTTCCCAACTTAAATAGTTTTCAAAAGTTTCTTTTCTGTATTCTCATATAAATATCAGGATATAAAATTATAGCCTA